ACGTTTTACTTTTGGAACAAATTTTTCGATTGAAAAAAACGGCCATTACTTATTAGCCAGCCCACTGCTAGTGGGCTGGCTAATAACTGCTAGTGGGCTGGCTAATAAGTAATGGCCGTTTTTTCAATTGAAAAATTTGTTTCAAAAGTGAAAAGTTTTGCAAGCAAACTTAATATCGTTTAATAGCAAACTTCTCGTAGTTTATGGATATCCGAATTCAAATTCAATTAATTCGAATGTATTAGCTTATGAAATTCTAAATAAGAGGCAGTTGTCAAAAGATAGCTCTTATTTCGCCGACCTTCACTTCCAAGCTCGTCAACGGCTAAAATTCACAAAACGCATAATCCTCAACCAAAGCTTTTTGATATTTCTTATACTACGAGAAGTTTCCTATCAGACGATATATAACTTGCTTGCAAAACGTTTCACTTTTCGAACAAATTTTTCAATTGAAAAAACGGCCATTACTTATTAGCCAACCTAATAGTTTTATTTCTTGTTGATTTGATCTGTTTTGTTGTTGTTGCTACAAAATGTTGTTACGAGTCTTTACGCATCACGAGTATCATACAGGCCGGGGCGGGAGTATTGCAACTCCAAGTTGCAATTGGTCGGTCATGGGGGTCGATCTACCGCACATCAATGCAGACCCCACGCAAGCCCTCGGAATTGATTGACCCCTGGGTGGCCTTCTTGGACTTTGGACTTTGATCCCAGGGGTATATAAGGGCAGCGGTTCTCAAGAAAAGGCAGTTCTTTCTATTCGGCAATCCTCTATTCCAGTCTTCAGTTTCCGAGTTCACATTTCGTCTCACGCTCTCTCACCCCGGCCTGTACACACATTCGGGTTCAATACGCATGAGCACTCGCATAAGTTTGATTCGGTAACCCTACGTTGTTGTATTACTTTCCTGTTGCAGTATAACGCTATTCATCTTATATAAAATTGTTGCTCGGTTGCCTCTATTGGGAAACAGTTACACAATTATACCGCGTGGCACGACTACACTAAACGCATATACTGCTATAGTGGATAGTCTCTTTATATTTCCTGTGCCATGGAGGGTACACTGGCTCCATACAGTTTCACTTTTGTGATCAGGACCTATGGGGAACCGCCATGTTTAGGATCACCGAAATACAGTGCAGAAGCTAGTGCGCCGAGTTCAACTTCAGGAATCTTTGACGTAGGGCTGTTCTGGACTTCGCGACGACAAATATATCGTCTATGTAAAAGCCGTGAAAGCACTTCCGCTGATCACTTCCGAGACCGTTTCCAGCGGTCCGAACAGGATTGCGAGAAGCGATGCGACTCGAGTGCCCAGTATTAGTCGGCGTGTTTGCAGACAGCTGTGAAAACGAAACACGTTGAAATTCACAACACCAGGAGTTCGTCGATGTTGCATATGGACATACAGTCCTCATAGTTAACAGCTGTTATGATGTTGTTGAACAAGATCTAGGCACGTTTCAACGGCATTCCTTGTGTGTACGTTCGCGTATAACGCAAACACTTGATGTAATGTACTGCAATTGTTAGGAATGGATGTGGGATGTCCGAGAAATGGTTTAGGATCCGCAGATTGCTGGCACGTGATTGTGTAAGATGAGACCGTGTGTTGTAAATGTACAGTTGAGTTCTCATCGGACGGTGGGGCGGTCCTTCGTCCACGTTGGCAAGCCTTCCGACGCCGCCCCGATCGATAATGGCTGATACGCCAATTAAACCGATTTCTATTGTTTTCAGCTTCGAGAAGCTGAAATTATTCTTCGCGCAGCGAAAAGGTGAGTATGTTTTAATGAAGCTAGATTTTATTCTGCATGAATTTAGCCAATAGCATCGCAGTAAACGAAGACATTCAGAAAAAAATGCGAAAAGAAAGAAGACAAGTTTTCTAAGGGAGTTTCATGCTGAATTCATGCAGAATGTAATCTAA